CCTGTGGTACTCCACCAGCCGACAAACCCAACCCCTTAAGACCAGGTAGTGATGACGTTATAATATCTTAGTTCTTCACAATGTTCTAGACCGTGTACCTTTTACAGTACAACACTTGGAATGTCTTTCTGTACTTGGGCAAACGCCACAGATAGATAAATGTGTTTAGAGCGTAGTTTAACAATAACATCATATCAGATACATTAAATATATACATAATGACGTCATGTGTTGTTTCTACGGTAACCACGTCCAAGACCCACAAACAGACAGTAGAGGGAAGGACTCCAAGCAAAAAAACTACGGTAATGATAAATACTGTACAGAGAAAACGATTTTGATTTCGTAAACGAACTTCAGCTGATTTTTGAGCAGCTTTTGAAATGGATGTGTCTATCTTGAGCGCCAAACGTCGTTTGTGCATAGAGAATGCAGCCAATGAATAACAAACTAGGGTTGCCACAATAAATATCCCCGATAACAATCTCGCTGGGGCTTTATACACTTGTTCTTGGTGAAAATAAATCAAGAGAAAATAACGTATCCCGTTATAAAGTATACTTGACACCCATGTCATGGCTAACCATTTGTAGCACACTTTTGCAGTCACATTGACTTTATGCCAAAGAGGAAACACAATCCCTAAACAACGTTCCAAAGCCAGACAAAAAATTGAAAAAAAATTGACAGAAAAGAACACGTCAAATACAAAGTAATTTAAGATCGTGAACGCCCTAGGTAAACCATTTATGCCGCCAAATTTTGTAAGCCAGAGTAGTGATTCTTCCATGAACATCAAAGAATTAAGGAGATCTGAAAGAGCTAGGTGGAAAATGAAATATGAAGTTGCATTACCGAAACATTTCAATGGATCTTTGAGCATTGCGAGGATCAACAAACCATTTGCCAAGATTGTGACTGTGGTCACTACCATATAATAAACGAAGCTCCAGGCTTTGATTTCGGTAAAGAAAATTGGGACAAATTTTATCACGTCTTCATTGCTTGAGTTCATCTTTTCATTATAATTTATGTTCGATCAAGTCACGATTTAATATCAAGATTTAATAAAGTTGAGGACGAAGCAGGTGTTTTTAACGTTTATATTTGAAACACTTTTTATTACCACGAGACAAGTAATTTATATTTAATTAAAGATTGGGTTTAGTCCACACTAGGCATGTAGAACTGAAACTATCACAGTAGGGTTTGTACTCATGCACAGTGGTGTAACTTTACTTTTTTGACCACTTGCCCTCAGAGTAAGTTGGACATGAAAATTAGTTGGCCTGAATAAAATTAACTTGCCATCAGACAATGTCCACTGGGGTACCTAGGTAGGAGGTATAAATTAAGGGGACAACATGTCGACCCGTTCTTCCACTGCTCTATATGGCTATGTTATACTGCCTCAGATCTAGCTTTGGCCCACAAAAAAACAAAATTTGAATCTAGTCCATGCACTATAAAAAAATTATATCCGACAAGGAAAACATAAACTTAAAGATGCACAGCTTTTTGTGGCAAGGCAACTTGCCCAGATAAAACGTTTACTTGTCCGTCGTGATATTCACATGCCCCGGGCAAGTGTTCAGTTACACCTCTGATGTAGATATCATATACATTGTTAGTTCTATATTTTATTACAGTACAATACAAGAAATGTTTTCCTGTACTTTGGCAACCTCCAGATATACAGAAAAGGATTGATTTGGCGCCATGCTGATAAAAAGCAAAATATTGATGACATTAAACAGCATTTCTGTAACACTTGCAGAAATCATAATTTTATGCACATGATGCTTGGAAAGTGTACCCACTATTAGAGGGATTATCCCAAATATGAGCACTAGGTTCACTAGAAGTACGGTGGTTATGAAACGCTTTTGATTTTTCAAACCAATCTTCAACATACGTGTTTCTGATTTTGAGTTTTCAGCCATGAACGACAACTTTTGTTTACGGATTGAGATATAAGCCAGGAGGTATATTAGGACTGTGCTGAGATAAAATATAGATGGAAATCCAGTAAATATAAATATGCCAGCGACAATAAACACATTGAGATGTAAAGTTGTAGAAATACCAGTCAGGATAAAACATACAACTGTATAGACCAGTTAATAAACCCATGTTCTCTTTGATATTGAAGTCAATGACAGAACTTTGAAGAATGACGATTCTGAATAATATAGACTTCCCTATAGGCTTAGCTTATTGAATTAAACTTATGTGCTGTAAGCATGCTGGTAATATTGCACTCAATCACTAAACTTTGCAGACTGAGACTATGTTCACATTACACCGGAGAGAAATAATACCAGAATTTACTACACCGGTATTTAATTTGTTTACAAATTAAATTACACTCATGTAAACCCCAAATATTTCAAATAGAGCAAAGAATTTAAACGAAAAGCATTCGAATTTATTGTTTTGAGACCCGAGACGCTTGGTTTGCAAGCGGTACAAAAAAGTAACGCCTAACGGCGTTTGTGTTGACACGAAGCCGCAAAAGCGCTACGTTTTCATCTTGCTCCGTTTAGAATCCGTGCTCAAATTCTTACGGCAAAAGTGACGCTTTCAAACAATTTCGCTCCGGGTAGTGTGAACTTAGTGTGATTCATTATGAAATTTTTGTCTAAGATTGATGAGACCGAGATTTGATCCCTGTGGTACTCCACCAGCCGACAAACCCAACCCCTTAAGACCAGGTAGTGATGACGTTATAATATCTTAGTTCTTCTGACAATGTTCTAGACCGTGTGCCTTTTACAGTACAACACTTGAAATGTCTTTCTGTACTTGGGCAAACGCCACAGATAGATAAAGGTATTTAGAGCGTAGTTTAACAATAACATCATATCAGATACATTAAATATATACATAATCACGTCATTTGTTGATTCTACGGTAACCACGTCCAAGACCCAGAAACAGATCGTAGTAGGAAGGACTCCAAGAAAAAACCCCATGGTAATGATAAATATTGTACAGAGAAAACAATTTTGATTTCGTAAACGAACTACAGCTGATTTTTGAGCAGCTTTTGAAATGGATGTGTCTATCTTGAGCGCCAATCGTCGCTTGCGTATAGAGAATGTAATCAATGAATAACAAACTATGGTTGCCACAATAAATAGCCCCCATAACAAGTTCGCTAGGACTTTATACACTTGTTGTTGGTGAAAATAAATCAAGAGAAAATAACGTATTGCGTTATAAAGTATACTTGACAACCATGTCATGGCTAACCACTTGTAGCAGACGTTTGCAGTCACATTGACTTTATGCCAAAGAGGAAACACAATCCCTAAACAACGTTCCAAAGCCAGACAGAATATTGATGGAAAATTGACAAAAAAGAACATTTCAAATACAAAGTTATTTAAGATCCTGACCGCCCTAGGCAAACCATTCATGCTGCCAAATTTTGTAAGCCAGAGCAGTGATTCTTCCATGAACATCAAGGAATTAAGGAGATCTGAAAGAGCTAGGTGGAAAATGAAATATGAAGTTGCATTACCAAAACATTTCAGTGGATCTTTGAGCATTGCGAGGATCAACAAACCATTTGCCAAGATTGTGATTGTGGTCACTACCATATAATAAACGAAGCTCCAGGCTTTGATTTCGGCAAAGAAAATTGGGACAAATTTTATCACGTCTTCATTGCTCCCGTTCATCTTTGCATTATAATTTATGTTCGATCAAGGCACGATTTAATAAAGTTGAGGACGAAGCAGGTGTTTTTAACGTTTATGTTTGAAACACTTTTTATTACCATGAGACAAGTAATTTATATTTAATTAAAGATTGGATTTAGTCCACACTATATATAGGCATGTAGAACTGAAACTATCACAGTAGGGTTTGTACTCATGTAGATATCATATACATTGTTAGTTCTGCATTTTATTATAGTACAATACAAGAAATGTTTTCCTGTACTTTGGCAACCTCCAGATGTACAGAAAAGGATTGATTGCCATGCTGATAAAAAGCAAAATATTGATGACATTAGACATAATTTCTGTACCACTTGCAGAAATCATACCACAAAACACCAGATACTTGGAAAGTGTACCCACTATTATAGGGATTATCCCAAATATGAGCACTAGGTTCACTAGAAGTACGGTGGTTATGAAACGCTTTTGATTTTTCAAACGAATCTTCAACATACGTTTTTCTGTTTCTGATTTTGAGTTTTCAGCCATGAACGACAACTTTTGTTTACGAATTGAGATATAAGCCAGGAGGTATATTAGGACTGTGCTGAGATAAAATATAGATGGAAATCCAGTAAATATAAATATGCCAGCGACAATAAACTCATTGAGATGTAAAGTTGTAGAAATACCAGTCAGGATAAAACATACAACCCACACTACAGCAATCGATATATAACACAGCCGAGATGTGACATTAACTTTATGCCATAGTGGACGAGCTATAGATACATATCTTTCCAAAGCCAGGGCAGTCACTGAAGGGAAAGTTAAGAAATTCACAAAACTTCCAAATGCTAAATTTATCTTAGTCCAAGCGACAGGAACACATAGAGTCAGCGACACCAGCATCTCTCCAGCATAATATAGTATGTTCAGGACATTAGTAATGGCTACATTCACGATGAAGTAGGTAGTTGGGTTCCGGAAACATTTCAGAGGATCTTTGTGGATTGCAAACAAGAGTAGAAGATTTGCTGCGACTCCAATAATAGTGAGAGACAGATAAAGTGTAAGGCTCCATACTACAATATTTCCTACATATGGTCCACATAATTTATAAGACTCTGTAAGATTTACGGAGATGTTTCTTATCGCGTCTTCATTGCTGCAGCTCATCTTTTCATTATAATTTATGTCAGATTAAGGCACGATTTAATAAAGTTGAGGACGAAGCAGGTGTTCTTCTAGGATTAACGTTTATGTTTGAAACACGTTTTCTTCACATGAGGCAAGTAATTTATATTTAATTAAAGATTGAGTGTAGTCCACACCATGTAGATATGTAGAACTGAAACTATCACAGATCAAGACAGATAAACTGTGAGGTTCCACTACAATATTTCCTAGATATGTTCCACATATAATTCATAAGACTTGAGATGTTTCTATGTCCTTCAGCCATATTTTTGATAATTTTATATGTAATAAAAATATATTAAACAGAGGTGTATATTAAATCGTGAGTTTTAATAATATGTAATTAACATTTGACATATAGCAACATGAACATTTAAATTATTGAACATTCACCAACACAAGCTTGTATTAAAACGTCTTAAATATATTTAATACTAAATGTCTTTATTTTATAAAGAACTACAATGTATAAAACACTCAATCCTCAAATTCAGTATTTATTACTCCTTGTGCAGTTACAAACTCAAAACTATAAAATATAAATTATTAATAAATAATTTCTATATAAGTAAATAATCTTTGCAAAATATTACAGTTCATGTATGACTGTTTATATCGATTAATTTTCCATACAAACACATCCATACCGCGTAACGCAAATAAAAACTCATTAATGGATTGATTAATCTGCATATATCAAAGCCCTAAACTTTTAGTCAATCAAATTCTAGTTCTGAGTACAAAAAACGAAAATCACAATCCAAAATAACAAAGTTCAAAATGACAACTTTGGTATTGAAAACTATTTTTCACTGAAAGAAACCTCTAGCTGGTTATTTTCTTCATATTATATCCCTATAACACTCAATTATGAACTTACTTTTCATCAAACGGTGTCATGTATATTATAAATATATCAATTGCAATTTCTCAAGCAATCACAGACCACAAGGTTTTAGGAAATATTGTCTAGGAAATCAAGAGGGAGACACAGTAAAACGAGAGCTACTTGGTTTGGGATTTCTAGTATTCTCCGAATCATCACTGTTCCTAGAAACAGAAAAACGTGATCCTCCTGGTTCTGGAGAGACATTGTTCTCGGAACTTGCTATGTCCCATATACTGGGACGTGAGCTAGCAACATTCGGTGGTCTTGTTGTATCAGCAATCTCATCATCGGGCAAAGTAACACCCTCTCCCTTCTGTGTCGTCTCAGAATTACCAATGTTACTGCCACTTGGTTTATCTGACGACAGATCAAAATCCCAATGGCTACTTTCTTCTTCGACTGGTGAATTAACTACAATCCGTGGTTTTGGCTCCTCAGTTATGGTATTCACTGGTTTGGTATCAGTAGAATCTGTCTCGGTAAGTTCTAAACCCGTAGTATTTCTTTCAGCAGTTGTCTGATCCGTAGATCCAAAATCTGCTCGTCCATGATCCGAATATCCAGTTTCCGCATTTCCGTTATTTGTGACTCCATTACCCGTAGATTCGGATTCCGCAATTCCGTCATTCGTATATCCGTTATCCGCAGATCCGATATCCATAGCTTTATCAGAATCCTTAGAATATACATCCGCGGATGCATTATGCTCCAAAACTTCAGGCTTCTCTTCAATTTCACTACACTGACTTGCTCCATGCGGTAGCAAAAGCGACATTGAATTTGTACCCGTTGGCTCAAGATCTGATTCACACTTCCCTTTAGACGGAGGGCGTTTCTTTTTATGTTTTCTACCCCACAACCTCACCCCATCTCCCCTCGCCCCACGCTTGCCCGGTAAACAAAACCGTAGTTTTGGAACCCCATCAGGTTCCGAGGTGCCACCTTGACTTGTTGTAGGTGTCAGTTCATTACGATGCTGCGCTTCAGGAATACTAGAGGACGTTTTAGGTGTTTCAATAGAGCTACCGCTTTCAGGTTCAGCTCCATTCGTGGGGCTGGCGTTCAGAGACAATAGCGGTAGCTCTTCAGACGAGTTTGTAGTCGGTGAAATTTCGTCGGAATTGGGCGAGGAAATTTCAGTTCTGTTGGGGGAGGAAACCTCGTCGACTGAATTGGGCGAGAAAACGTCTTGTGTAGGCGGCGAAGACACTTCTTCTGGGATAGTAAAAACATTATCGCTTACCTTAGTATGTGTGTTACCTTCAGGGGAGGCAAACAGGCCCAACACTGTGGGTCGTTTCTGGCTAGACTCTCCAGGTCTTACAACCGCGTCAGATTTCATAGATAATAATTTCTCAGAAACTGCAGTTGGAGTGTCAGGCGTACTCGGTGCATCAGACGTTTCTCCGTCACTTTCTCTCACTACGGCTAGAGAAACAATATTTAAGTTTCAATAACGATACCAGATAACGATAGTAGAGGTAGCTCTAACGAAGGTGGAGGTGGCTGGCTTTCACTTCAGCCTTTCTAGGGAGAACAGTCTAGAACTCGTAGATGCACCCAGTATGAAGGTCAGTTGGATAGAAATGAAGTAGTTGACGTGCCTTTCACGTGTGAGAAGAGTGCTTCCAGTTTGACCCATGGATGAAACTCGTAGTAAAAGTCTGAACTCTACTCACATGAGAAGTATTAGCCTGCGAACAGGCCCTGGGTTACGGGCGGCGCGAAGAATAGAGAAGTATTAAAAGTGTATCAACTTCTATAAATTTGATCACAATCATATTATCCTTGTTTAGAGTAGGTAAAGTAATTATTCCTAAACAAGTTTACATTGGTAAAACAAGATACTAAACTTAACGTCTTTAAAAAAAAACATGTAATTCACCTACCTAGTTGATTATCTAAGCGGAAACGAGAGATGTTTCTTTGTCTACTGTCTCCAGCGATAGTTAACGTATTACCACTTGTTTCAAAAGCAGAGGTTAGTGGCTCGGGTGATTTGAGTCCCTGATACTCCTGAAAGACATACGGGACTCTGTTTCCAGGTAGGATAATACTAGTGCCAGAAAGTCCTTCTAGTTTTGACGCAATGCCATGACAACGCGCCTCGAGTTGATCTGTGAATTCAGACTCGTCCAGTTCAACCACAGTGGATCTTCGTCCTTAATGGAAGAATGTACAGTAATAAGTAACACATCATTATTGATTTGACGTGATGGTGATGAATTCAGTATAGATATAGGGCGGTTCCATTAAACATTATCGTGTAGCAGAGGGTGGTCAACCAGCAGTTATCAGAGTACTGAAAATAATATTAATTATTTTCATTGATAGGCCAATGAAAATTGGTATCATGTTTCTCGTCCACAATATTCAAAAATTTGGAGCGGGATTTTTTCATTATTTTTTGTATTTGAATTCTGCTTGTCAATAATTTCCTTGACCCAGTAAAAAACGCCATAAAAATCTGAAGTAAATCGGTGTATAATTCATTTTAATTTAATACGTCCTACACTACAGTATATTTCTACACATACCAGGGGCCAGGGCTGACATGAAAAATAAAGGCATTCTGGCGAGTAATATCTTTAGAAAGATACAATTTGAGTTGCGCTTGCGGATTGCAGCAATAAGACTTTGATATGGAGATCAAATTTGGTGTTTTGTTAAGCTTATTTTTCAAAAATAATGAATAATGAAATATTTTCGTGCGGCAGATAAATCCCATGCGGGCGGGGACGAGAAACATGATATCAATTTTCATTGGCCTAATAGATGTAGTAGTTTTGTATTTGAAGGCAAATGAATGAGTGATGTAGTTTAATTTCTTAAAGTTGAGCACCATCTGCTGCCCATGAAATAAATGTCTTAGTCAGAAAGCATCTGTTTACTAAGATGTTAACTCAGTTAGTTGGCAAACTATTTCATGTACCTTCAGGATTTCGTTCACTTTTACGTGAAAGAATTCGACGTAGTTTCTTAGGGGATCCTACATCAGCCAGACTAATGTGACGAGGCCTCCTGGGTGAACCTTCTTCGTTCGAACTTTGTTGTAAAGGAGGCACTGGTGTATTGTTTCTGCTGTGTTCTTCTTGTGCTGTAGTTGTTGTCACGGTGAAACGACCGATTCTTACAGTTCTGTTCGTGAGGAGTGATTGAGTCGTCCAGTCATCAAGCTGCAAACAAAACCATGAAAATGTGCACTTTATAGCCACAAACTGTGTCTATAAGGTATGCCAAAAACAGGCGTATTTTGTAGCCACAAACCCTGGCACGGTTATGGTGCCGCGCATTGTGGTAAACTTCATTTTCGGCGCAAGACCATCACGACTTGGAAAACACTTTTGTAAACAGTAAGTAAATTATGAGATGCTTGTGATGTTACTCTGAGTGTATATCCACACCGGGCAAGCTTGAAAAATATACCTGGCCACGGTGGGAATCGAACCTACGAACTTTGGAATACTAGCCCGATGCTCTGCAAACTGAGCTACGCGGTCAGGTCGGTCGAGTATCAAAAAATATCATATTACTAGATTACATGTACATTGATATCGAAGGAACTAGACTCAGTTCCGAAATCTCACATACTCGACCGACCTGACCGCGTAGCTCAGTTGGCAGAGCATTGGGCTAGTATTCCAAAGGTCGTAGGTTCGATTCCCACCGTGGCCAGGCATATTTTTCAGGCCTGCCCGGTGTGGATATACACTCAGAGTAACATCACAAGCATCTCATTCACCTGAGTACATTACACCAACACAAAAAATATCAATAAGTAAATTATATGGCATTCACTCCAGTATATACTAAACTGTCTGTACCAGAGTGGGTAGTACCAATGTGAAATTGCTGTGCTGAATGGTTATATTACTACCATAAAAAACAAGCAGAAACTCGACGTTTCGAGCGAAGACCCTTCGTCAAGAGTTAGA